CGCCAGCAACCCAGCTAAACTAGGCACCACCCACCGCCACAACTCAACTGAACCATGCGCCAACCATACTCCCTCCCACCCCCCGCACAACTCAGCTGAACCACGTGCCATCTGCACTCCTCCTGCAACGCAGATGGACCTCACACTGCCCACATTTCCCCCCCCTCCAAACTTAGCTGAACAGTGAGATGGTTCCCTGCCTTCCCCTCCCCCCAGCTGCTTACCTGCTTTCCTGTGGGAGCCTGGGAAACACCTCCCCCTGCTCCTATTGGCTAGATTCCCAGCAGCAGGGAAAGGCTTCAGGAACTGTCCTTCCAGGCTCCTGTTCCCCCGTCCAAGGGAGGGGGAGGGGGAGGGGAATTAGCAGCACGCAGCAGCTTCTAGCGGTGTTTGGAGTCCCATGGCTTTCCGGGACATTTCAGAGTGGCACAGGGCACCAAGGCAGGACATTAAAAATTGGGACTGTCCCCAAAAAACTGGGACAAACGGTTAGTGTATCTATCTGCTACCTTAGCACAGCTGCAGCTCTCACTTCCAGTCTCTCCCAGCCCCAGCCCCCACCCCAGCCCAGCTCCTCTGCCAGTGTAGCAGCGGGGACTTCCCTTTGCTGTCAGGGTGGGATGCTACAGGTGGGCAACCAGGACTGAGCCAGCGTCTGGCACCCAGCCCTTTTAAAAATGTAGGATGGCAGCGTGAGGATTGTCCTGAGACCTGGCAGGAGATCAGAGAATGAACCAGCGTCTTTGGACGTTGGCTCCTCTCTGTCCCTTTAAGAGTGCAGGGGTGGGAGGAATGATTGAGTAGTCGATAGTGCTACCCAATAACCTCCTGCTTATCAGGTAGTTGACTACTCCTTCACATCCTTAGAATCCACCCCCTCTCCTGCACCCCAGTCTCCTACCCCAAGCTCCCTTCTGCACCCAGTCTCTGTCCCTGACCCCACACTCCCCTCCACTGAAGTGCAGCCCTCGACCACTTGCCAAAATCCTGGAGTGGCCCTCCAGGTTAACTGATTAAAAAGGCAGCAGGGGGGCAGGGAGCTGCTCCAGCCCCCACTGGTTAACATCACCCGTTAGGGGTGATGCTTACTAGTTAACCTTTCACATTCCTATTACAGATTGCTGTAATAACCCATAAATCCAGTGTCTCTGTTCAGGCCATGAGTTTTAGTGTCTAGCAAACTTATAAATTTAAGATCCCAAGCTTGTCTTTTGAAAGTGTTGTACAGGTTTGCTCCTAAAACAAGCCAGATACAGAGTGATAACTTTGTGAGAAACATTCACCCATGGGTGATAGAATTTTTTCATCTTATTTTCCGGTGAGAGTTTGTTTGAGAGTAGCGATTGCCTGGTTTAAGCTGTTAATGGGGCATTCAATACACTGCATGAGGTACCTTAGAGATGCAAAATCCCATTTAACTAATTAAAAATGGAGGCAGGCTACAGCAACCCCCATGCCACGGGCAGGGGCTATTCCAGCCCAGCTGCTTCCGGCCCCACACGAGGCTGCTGACTTCCATCCTGTGATCCCATGTGGGCTGGGAGCTGACAGTCCAACGGGCCTGTTCCCGGGTAACAGTTAACTCAACACACCTTTCACGATCCATGGATCCTACACATTTCTCACGTGAGACGTAGGGATGTGAATGGTTGTTTACCATTGTAGCAGAAGTAGTATGTCCATATGTTTTGCATCTGCACAAAGCAGTTGTTTGCACAACCCAGTACTTTTTTTTTTTTTAAATAGATGATTGGTGGCCAATCATTCGCCCCAATTCTGGTATCCTCTGATGGTGGATACATTTATGTACAATGAACCTACAACAAGTTCAATAAAACTTCAAACACCATTTAAAAAAAAAAAGCTCATTAGTCTCCCACAAGCTGAGCCTATATAGGCAAGTATTTAGTAGTATATGTACATTGTTGCAATGAGAGATTGTGAGATCATGTTGTTCAACAGGATCATTACCCGTTGTGACACAGTCCCCAAGCAAACCACATTACTTAAGCACTTTGGACGTGGTTTCCAGTGGACTTTTCAAACAGACAATGAATCAAAAACATTTCCAAACATGTATGTACATAACCCAAAAAAATGACACAAGCCTACCTGTCAGAATTGACTGGTCTACCCTTAGAGTTGTAGATTTGATAGAAGTAATTCTTATATCAGCAGGA